TGGTGAGTGGTAGTAGTCAATAATGATGAGGTGGCGAGTGGTGATAGTCAATAATAATGACATCGACGATGATACTTGAGGATGGTGGTGGTTGAGTTTGGAGATGGTGGATGATGCATGGTGGTAGTTGATAATGATGGGCAGTGGCGGTTATTAATTGTGAATGTGGATAATAACATCTTAATTAAATTAAGTCTATGTTATGGATCTTAATCATTCAGATCAATTTAGACCCATTAATTAATTGTGAAATAAAAAACAAACACACTTAATGATCAAGATCTGAATGATTCAGATTCAGATTTAAAAAAACAAACACACTTAATGTGTGAGATCTGAATGGTTAAGATTCAAACCTCCATTAAGTGTTGTTGGCCTAAGTAAGTTTTGATGATTGATAAAAGAAATACATGCATGAACCAGGTCCATACACAGTATACACATGGCACGGGCAGATTCAAGCACAAGGCATGCACATGAATGAGACAAGCATAAGTGGTTAAATATGATATCTCATGAACAAAAAGGTTACATAATTGATAAGGAACACGACTCCTTACTTGAAGATAACTCTATCCTAGATAAGAGAAGAGTTATAAGTTGAAGATAACTAGAACTCTTCTACCAAGGAAGAGTGTAGCATTAGAACTCTAGTTATTTCTTATTCTACTAACTCTATATATATATCAGTTCGTTCTATTTTACAGGTGACGCACAAACGCTGAAGTTAAGCAAGAATTGAGAGCAAAATAGCAAGGCATTTTGCAAGCAATTCCTATGTGATTCAAGTGTGTGAACCTGAAGCTACATGAACCAGATAGAAGAACCAGTTTCAAGTGTCTGTCTTTTATTCTAGTTCAATTATAGTAGGGCTTTTGAGTTGTACCTTTCATCTTTCTCTAGAAACATTTGTAATATGTACTCTCAGTGTATTGTTCAAGTTAGAGTTAACTTGAAATTATCGCTACAGCCTGAGACTGGTTGCTATGAAGGGTTAGAGGTAATCCTTAGGTTTACAAGTATTTTATTAACGTTGTTTTTGGCTCAGTTATTTAGTGAAGAGTTGGGACAAATCCTACTGGGTAGTAGGTCGTAGTTTTTTCACCTTTTGAGCCAGGTGTTTTTTACGTAAAAATACTTGTGTTCTTTACTTTCTGTATTTATTATTCCGTAACTGTAGTATAAGAAACACATAGAAGAACCAGGTCTTTCTATAATTTGTGCACGCGAAAAATTTGACACCACACAAATCACCCCCCTCTTGTGTGGTATTGAAGCACAAAACATCAAGTGCAAACAAACGAGGCCTTAATATTTTTAAACCTTAGATTATGTTATCTTACTACCTATGTATTAAGCATCAAACATCAACTCAAAACAAAACAAAATTTTATATGCTTTAATTAGACATTATTTTCATCTTTTATTAGTATGAACAACATTACAATGATACAAGTCATTGGATATGCCGTTGCAAGTATAATCTCATTTTTTTTTGTTCAATAGGAGTAATATTGTTAAATATATATCATTACAGAATTAGTGCTACCATGAGCACTAGGGTTATTCCACCGGTATTAACCATATAAATATACTATATGTGGCCTATCTAATAAAGTAAATTCATAAGTCAGTCTGCATCTAGTGTATGAGACAAAGAAAGGAAGAATTACTAGTTAAATAAAATTATTATACTTGTGTTTCCTAACCCTTTTGCTCTATCTAATCGGTAGATTTATCACCTTCTTTATTTCCTATAGCTATGCATCAACAATCAGCAATAATTAACAATATTAGTGTATAGCTAGTGATCATTTTTTATTATTGAAATATTACTTATGTTGAGTCGACATAATTTGCATTAGATCAAGGCCATTAAAGCGAGCAGGCCATAGGTCATGATGTAAAAGTGCAACTATCTCAATCAACGTATTGGTTCTATGTGGTATACGATACCTCTTATCGCATGATTGATTAGGTAAAGTAGCATGTTTGTATTGAGTTTATAGTACCCCGTAAGCACAAGGATACCATTCAACATGTAAAATGATAGATTCCTTGGATGTAGAATAAATCTTAGTCAATAAAAAACTACTATTTCATATAGCAAAATTGAAATTTCTAGGGAAATCGGGTTCTTGAGATTGTTATGATAGTTATGGTTCATTATGAGCTAAATGTTCCAAAAAGCACAAAGGAATGAGGTCCCCCCACCCCATACCCCCCCAAAAAATGCCAGTTGAGTAAGAAAAATATTTGATAATATGATGGTAGGCTAGAAACTCACGCTTTTAACTATATTTCGTATTCTATTTACTACATTTTAATGGTTTTGAGCCTAACTGTTAGTACTTTATACTTATTATGTGTGTTATGTTGTGTAGGATGTAATTTTGAGTTGAGAATAAAGTTTAGAGCTAAAATAGATGAATTGGAGATTTGAAGTCTCAGTAAAAGTCCAAGGAATAAGCCGGGATCATGTTTGGGATTCGAGGACTAATTCTGGATGTTAAAAATTGAGAAAAAATAATTACTCTGGAAAATATACACTACCGCCTCGGGGGCGCGGGGTGCTAGTGTAAATTTCCTGCATAATAGAAAAAATAGGCCTTTGAACTTTCCCACTAATGCGGCACATGGTGCGCCTCTCGGTGCGCCGCGGTAGTGTATTTATAGCCCAACTTTTTCTATTGCGGCTTAGAGAGGGTAGTTTCATCCGGGCATGTTCCTACTTGGTATAAATACATCAAAAATACGTTTTTAAAGGGACCTTTTTCTTACGTAAGATTGGAAGAGCTTTGGAGACTTTTAGGCACAAGGATTCATTATTCTTTCCTCAACTCAATACCCGAGTTTGGATTGAATTAATGTTTTCTTATTCTTTAACTCTATTTGTGATGACTTCCTCCATGATTATGGAGTAGTTTACTTTAGGGTTTGACGGATATGGTATTTTGATTGATATTTGTGGATTTTAACTTTAGTATTTTGCATGAATTCGTTTATGGAGCTTTGAATTAATTGTAATTTTTATGGATGTTTTATAAAAAAATAGCACTCCCCTCTCTCTCTACGATACGCCTGACAGCTTTAACAGCTAGAGCTTTCAAAATCGAACCATAATCGTTAACAAAATGAAAAAAATGGCTTATTGGCTTATTGATATCAGGTTATCAGGGTAATGGTTGGTGAACATATTGAAAGTTTATAATTGACGACTTAACAATTTGGAGGCAGATTATTCAATTTTCTTATTGGATAATCCGTTAACCCATTAAGAATTTTTATATTTATGCTTTTGCCCCTATGTATATAAAGTAATATTTATTGGTTGGTCCAAGGTATATGGAACGCGTCATGATCTAGTAACAGATGTAGACCTTGATGTAGGATTGGATTTAAGTTAGTTGGGCAGAGTAGTAGTTCTAGTCTGCTACTTCCATATATACAAGTATATGATTTAAGCTAAAGGTGGTTGGTAATCTCGTTGCCCAAATACTACACCCACTCCAGCTTTGAATTAACTTGATTTGCAAAGACAAAGCAAAGTCAATTTTTTTAGCCTTACTCAGTTTGTTCAGCTTTGAAGAGCACATTTATTGGAGTTCAATTTCTATTTTCTAGTCTTACTTAGTTTTGTTTTCAATACAAAAGGGCTTTATTTACTTCATCTAGAATCATTGCAAAGACAAAGCAAATGTGATGCATTACTCCAAAATTTTCCTTAATCGCTAATATTATAAACCGCTCGATAATTGCTAATCCGATACTAATCCGTCTGATGTCTTATTAGTTGGTTGGCGGATTACTACATTTATAAATCGATAACCGATAAACCAAACCGTTAGCATAAATAACCGCCCAATTCGCCCGATAAGTACACCTATTAACGGCTACAAGAAAAAACCGGCGACCACCCTCCCCCAAGGTAAGCATCCTCTCTCTCATCCCCTATCTCTCTTCCCCCATCTCTCTCACCCCCCACCACCCACTCCCCTACCCTTCCGTCCCCGTCTTGTCTTCTTCTCCTCTCACTGTCGGCGAGACACCGGTGATGCCTCTCTCCCCTCCACTCTGTCCGGCCGTCATCTCTCCCTCTCATTATACCTGCCCAAACCCGTGTGTGCGTGGGGGTTCATTTCTTTCACTCCGTAGTGACTAAGACAGAAGACTCCAGTGAGATTCAGACTAGTCACTGGTGAGTGGGAACAACCACAGTCAAGTTTCAAGCTTGTTTTGCAGCGTTTTGGTCACCCCGAAAATCAGACCCGTCTTCCAATCCAAGTAAGTCATCATACAACAACTCTGGCAAAATCTCCGACGACCGCCACCAACCTCACCGTCTTCGATGATAGTACCATGTTCTACGTTCCTATTTCATTATACTTTGTTTAAATTTGTTTCTCTTTTCATAGTGTGTTTTCTACTAGTTGTTGTGCTATAGCCGTGGTCTATTTGTTTAGATCATTTAAATGTTTGATTCACTTGTATAGTTTAGATCTCTTGTAATTTGTTTTGGGCCCATTAGCATCGTCTAGGGTATTTAGTTTCATATATCTTGCTGCTATTACCTTGCATAGTACATTAGTTTTTCCCCCTATTTGTGTTCCTTTTAGTTTCGGACTGTATTCTTGGTATCATAGTGTGTCTTGATTATAGTGGCTATTCTGAACGATGGTAAGGTAAGGTCATATCCTCGGATGGTTCCCATGAGGGTGAGAGGGTGGGGGTAAGGGGTAAGGGTGCTTCCAGGATGAGAGTGAGGTCTTGAAACATAGGGACCTTGACGGGGAAGTCTATAGAGTTAGCGAAGGTTCTCCATAGAAGATCGATATAGCTTGTCTCCAGGAGATACGATGGGTGAGAGATAAGGCACGGGATGTAGACGGCTTAAATTATGGTACTCTGGTTGCGTGGAGGGCAAGAATGGGGTAGGCATTTTGGTTGATAGTCATCTTCGGGAGCTAGTGGTGGAGGTTAAGAGGGTGAGTGACAGGCTGATGGGCACTAAGCTAGTCGTTGGTTTGTTTACTTTAAATGTGATTAGTGCGTACGCACCCCAATTGGGCTTGGACAAGGAGGTTAAGAGGCATTTTTGGGAGGACTTGGATGAGGTTATGTGTGGTATCCCGCACACTAAGAAGCTTTTTATAGGAGGAGATTTCAATGGCAACATTGGAGCGACATCTAGGGGTTACAATGATGTGCATGGAGGCTTCAGTTTTGGGGTTAGGAATGGAGGAGGAACTTCGCTGCTGGATTTTGCAAAGGCGTTTGACTTGGTGATTGCTAACTCGAGTTTCCCGAAGAAGGATAAGCAATTGGTTACTTTTCAGAGTTTGGCAGCCAGGATCCAGATTGACTATCTATTCCTTAGAAAGTCAGATAGAGGTCTGTGCATGGATTGCAAGGTCATCCCGAGTGGGAACCTCACGACCCAGCATAGGCCCATGGTCATGGATTTGGAGATTATGAGGAAGCGGAGAAAGAGGGCTGTGTATGGTCTTTCTACGATCAAATGTGGAGCTTTGACTAAGGTCAGGGCCTAGGAGTTGGGGGATAAGTTGTGGTTATGGGGTCATGGAGGAGAAGTAGGGACGCGAGTGGTATGTGGACCGTGATTGCAAATTAAATTAGAGAGGCTGCTAGGGATGTATTGGGGGGTCTCGAAGGGCCCTTCTGGTGGACGAAAAGGTGACTAGTGGTGGAGAACTGAGGTCCAAGGTAAAGTGAAATCCAAAAAAGTGACTTACTTAAAGTTTGTGGAAAGCATGGACGAGGAGGAGAAGAGGATGAACAAGGAGCAATATAAGGTGGCTAAGTAAAAAGCAAAGCTACCAGTTACTGCATCTAAGACTGCCACATTTGAGCGCTTGTATGAAGAACTTGGAGGAAAGGGAGGGGAAAAGAAACCATACAAGTTAACCAAGGTGCGAGAGAGGAAGGCTCGTGACGTGGACCAAGTGAAGTGCATCAAAGATGAGCAAGGTAGAGTGTTGTTTGATGAGGCTCTGATTTGACATAGATGACAAACGTACTTCCATAAACTCCTGAACGAAGAAGGAGATGTGAACATTGTACTGGGTGACTTAGAAAACTTCGAGAGCCATTGGGACTTTGTGTATTGTAGGTGTATAAAAGTTGCGGAGGTAAAAATGGTTATGCTTAAGATGAGCAGGGGGAGATCGACCGGGCCAGATGAAATCCCAGTGGAATTTTAGAAGAATGTGTGTAGGGAGGGCTTGGAATGGCCAATTGGGCTATTCAATGTCATTTTTAGGATGAAGAAGATGTCCGAGGAATGAAGATGTATTATGATGATCTTGTTGTATAAAAACAAGGGGGATATCCAAAATTTCAAAAACTATCGGGGTATCAAGCTATTGGGCCGTACTATGGAAGTACGGGAGAGGGTGGTGGAGTTGAGGGTGTGGAGAATTGTGTCTATTTCAGAGAACCAATTCGAAATTATGCCGGGGCATTCGACTACTGAAACTATTCACCTTGTTAGGAGGTTGATGGAGCAATAGAGAGAGAGAGAGAGAGAGAGAGAGAGAGAGAGAGAGAGAGAGAGGAAATGGTAATTACATATGGTGTTCATCAACTTAGAGAAGGCTTACGATAATGTGCCGAGGGAGGTGTTGTGGAGATGTTTGGAGGCTAGAGACGTTCCTGTTACATACATTAGGGCTATTAAGGACATGTACGAGGGTGCTAAGACTCAGGTGAAGACAGTGGGAGGGGACTCAGAACACTTCCCGATTGTGATGGGGCTGCATCAGGGGTCAGCCCTCAGCACATTCCTGTTTGCCCTAATGATTGATGCGCTGACGTGTCACATTGAAGGGGAGGTGTCGTGGTATGTGTTATTTGCAGATGATATTGAATGATTGACGAGACACATTGTGGTGTTCAAAAGAGGTTAGAGGTATGGAGATAAACCTTGAGTCTAAAGGTTTCAACTTGAGCAGGACCAAAACAGAATACTTGGAGTGCAAGTTTAGTGGCGCGACTCAAGAAGAGGACGAAGACATGAGGCTTGATTCACAAGTCATCCCTAAGAGAGGAAGTTTCAAGTACCTTAGATCTATTATACAAGTAAATGGGGAGATTGACGAGGATGTCACATACCGTATTGGGTCGAGTGGATAAAATGTGCACTCACTTCTGGTGTTCTGTGTGATAAGTATGTGCTACCAAAACTTAAAGGTAAGTTCTATAGAGTGGTTATTAGACCAACTATGCTGTATGGGACAGAGTGTTGGCCAGTCAAGAAATCTCATGTCTAAAAGATGAAGGTGGATGAGATGAGGATGTTGAGGTGGATGTGTGGTCATACAAAGTTAGATAAAATAAGAAATGAAATTATTTGGAACAAATTGGGTGTGGCCCCTATAGAGGACAAGATGCGGGAGGCGAGACTTAGATAGTTCGGGCATGTGCAGAGGAGAGGCACTGATACCCCGGTGAGGAGGCGTGAGAGGCTGGCATGGGGGGGCCAACGGAGAGGCTGGCCAAAGAAGTATTGGGGAAAGGTGATTAGGCAAGATACGGAGTTGCTCCACCTCACTGAGGACATAACCATGGATAGGAAAGTGTGGAGGTTGAGAATAAAGGTAAAGCGTTAGGTGGACAAGTGTTGTCCTGGTTGGTAGCAGTAGCTTTGTTACACCACTTGGTGTCTTTCGTGTTTTTATTCGTATCCCTAGACTTCTGTTACTACTTGTTGTTTGTCTTTTGTTTCAGTTTTTTGATTGCATTACCTACTCCTAATTTTGTATTTTTGCTCCGGTTGTCAAATCGGTTTACTTGTTATTACCTCTCTCCTCTCCCCTTCCTGAGCCGAGGGTCAACCGAAACAGCATCTCTGCCTTCTTAAAGACAGAGGTAAGGTATGTCTACACTCTACCCTCCCCAGACCCCACTTATGAGACTACACTAGATATGTTGTTGCTGTTGTTGAATTATTTAATCAAAAGAGGAATATTATGGATGATTATCTTTGCACTATTTCGTTTGGTTTAATTCAATGATTCTTTTAAGTAATCGAAAGAGCTTGTTGAATGGTTGATTAAATTAAGTTAGGAGAATATTCGAGATATGTTTTCCTAAAGACTAGCCCATTAACGTGCTCTTTCATATCTTTATAGTGCTTTATATTAGCTTACCTCATAGTGTTCAGATTTAATCGAGAGATGAGTCTTGGATATACAATTGAATTACTCATCGAGTGAATTCGTGAGAATCATTAGGAGATTAGAATGAACTGAACTAGAGTTAGATCCCGAATAGCGATCTTGCACCTATCCAGTCACGACCCTTATTTCTCCAATTGATTATTTAAGTGTTGCTCAAATCTTGTATTTTCGTGATCAATTATTAATTGTTGTAGGTTTAATAGTAAATTTAGTTCATAATTATTCCAACCAAAGTGTTAATCATTCTGAATAGCATTTAAGCCATAAATTACTGGAATATTATTTAAATCTAAGCACTGTGGAGATGATAATTTTACTACGTTATCTTTGGATAGCGAGCATTAATTTTTGTTTTGTGTTTTGCGCTCGTCATAATATTGACCAAGAACAAGGAGGAAATAGAAAGAACTTATCGAACAACAATTGTGTCGTGGTAAACCGCTGCCTTGAAAGTGATTTTGGCCCGACTGAGTGCAAATTATTAAGACCGATTGCTCTCCAAGGTTTCAAGCACTTCAAAATACGTGCACTCATGGCTGAAAGTTTGGAGTTTGCACAAAACAATTGCCCAGAAGCTGGCTGAATAAGAAGAGAAGGCGTTGGTGTTTTCTATGTTTGAAAACTTCATAAAATAGATCCTTATATAGGTAAGATGCAATAGCTATTACAAGAAGGAGAATTAATTTGAGGGTTATAAAAATAAAAGAGTTATTACAGAATTCAAGTAGAAGTTACAAGAATTTAAAGCTTAGATATTACAAAGTAGTAAATCAGACGTTACATAATTAAATTCAAAGACATATTTTGGATACTTTTTTTGTAAGCTTAAAAAATGAAGAAATATTTTTTAACAACATCAGAATTGGACTAGGCCTAACGTAT